ACATAGAACTACTCTGACTTTTCTTCATGGAGTCATCCAAAGAGAGCTATAATTAGAACCTGTAGATAAAAGGTTTAAATCCTGCCTTTCAAGATTTGACGAAAGCATTTCTGTTGTGAGTTCTTCAGGAAAGGGAAAAATATGCTGTTTTATGATGACTTGATAGATGATATTTAGGGCTTGAACTTCAGAATTTAAATTTTGAAAGTGATATTTACTATAAAAACTGTGCAGCTATTTGTGACATTGCATACTTTTAGAGACTATGTGTAGCTGTTGCTTTGGTCATGATAAAGGCAACTACTTATCAGCCCAAAGAAAGTCATATAATACAGTGCCTTATTCCTTTATTCATCAAATAATTAGGACACAAGCAGGACTCGAACACAGGATTGGTTTAGGCACTGATATTGCTGTTGTTAAGTGCATTGCGTTGGTTCTGACTTAACGCGATCCTATATGGACTTTGCAAGGGGCTGTTGGTGGGTTTGAGCAGCCCAGTGATTGTCCTACAGTGCCATTAATAGGAGACTCATCCGCCCCCCTCCCCAGGAGAATATTATTAAGCTAACGGGGAGAGGTTTGAAGATATGAGTATACATATATCAAATTAGAAATGTGAGAAATATCTCTTTTGGCAATCAAATGTATTTTTGTGCAAATATTATTCTTTTTAACTTAAGTATACACTAAAAAAAAAAAATATATGAGTTTTATTCCCTTCTATAACTGAAATGTAATAATTAGGAGTAGGCAAATAAAGAAAAGCTCCATATTTTATTTTTGCCTTTCTTCAGTAGAGATACAATAACCTCTCCTCACAAACACAGGGCAAAAGGTACATGAAAATACAAAATATTTCCTCGTCTAATTTAATGACTACCATGCCAACTGAAAGAGCTCTGATAGTGTAGTGGTTCTGAGTCGAGCTGTTAATCTCAAGGACAGCAGTTCAAAACTACCAGCCATTCTATGAGAGAAAGATGAGGCTTTATGCTCCCGTAAAGATTTACAGCCTCAGAAACCCTGTACAGGGTCACTATGAATTGAAACAGACTCCACAGCACATAACCACCACCACCACCATGCCTATTGAATATCTATTTTACCTTTTTGCTATGAATGAATGTTGTCTTAAGCAGACCACTACCATTTTACAATTTGTAGGAACACCACTTTCAAAAGAATTTGGATATGAGCTTCAAATATGTGTAAATAGAAGTGCTAAAATACATATTGATGAGGAATAACAACAAAGAAGGTTTAAATCCTAAGCATTTCTGTTTGAGTTCTTCAGGCAGGGGAAAAATATGCTGTTTTATGATAACTTGATAGATGATATTTATGGCTTGAACTTCAGAATTTAAATTTTGAAAGTGATATTTACTATAAAAACTGTGCTTCTATTTGTGACATTTTAATGATAACTTCCTAGGAAGATGCTATGATGCTCTATGTTAATTGCTTTCCATGTTTATGTTTTACAAGTTTTCATATATTTAAAAACACAGTTTTCAATATTGAAATTTGAAACACTGTCAGTTGGACCAACAAAATCAATATATTACACATTAACGAAAATAAATGAACACTGCTGTCACCTAACATATACTTCTGATAATAAATAAGGTATAATAAAGAGAAAAAGGAGGACTGGTAGTGTAGAGGTTATGTGTTGGACTGCTAACCTCAAGGTCAGCATTTCAAAACTACCAGCTGTTCTGTGGGAGAAAGATGAGGCTTTCTGCTCCCATAATGATTTACAGCATCGGAAACCCTATACAGGGTCGCTTTAAGTAGGAACAGCCTCCATGGCATACAACCACTACCACTAAAGACAAAATGCCAATAACTGTAACATTTTTATTTGAGTTTTAAGTCAGCCTTCTAGGCTTATATTTATAAACGTGTTCATTAAAAGCAGGTACTATGTACCTTTGACATATGTCATAATTAAGCAGGGGAAAACACCAGGTCTTTCCTGGGGTATCTTGGCATATAGTTTAAGAGAAATGGATATGAACTTCAGATTGTATCCAGGCATGTGAGCTCAATGTTATTAAACCAGGCATTTTTTATAAGTAAGTGACCTACTCTATGGACACAGGAGCAATGTGTTAAGCATTTGACTGCTAAAAGAAAGATAAGGCAGTCCACTTCTCAAAAGATTTCTAATCTCAAAAACCTTATAGAGTGTTTCTACTCTGTCACATGAAGTCGCTATGAATGGGAGTGGACTCAATGGCAGTGGGTAGAAATCACTACTTTCAAATCCAGCTTGGTTCTTCACATCAACATGGATCAAGGTTTCAAAGGAAAAGGTGATTGTTAGGCTACACTAACTGGCAGGGGAAAGAAAATGAACAGAAGAGAGAAGTATGTTTTCTAGGACTTTATATACTCTCTAAGGGAGTTGTGTGGCACTGTGGGTTAATGCTTCAGACTGCAAAGCCATCTGAACTGCAAGGTAGGTGGTTCAAGCTCACCAGCTGCTCCTGAGAAACCCTATATAGGATCGCTATGGATTGGAATTAACTCTATGACACTTAACAACTACAACAACAACAAGGGAGTCCTGGAGTGGTGCTGTGGGTCAATGCACTGGACTACAAAGTTGATTTGAACTGCAAGATTGGCAGTTCAAGCTCACCAGCCACTCTTTGGAAACCCTATACAGGGTCTCTGTGGTTTGAAACGGAATCAACAACATTCAACAAAAACAACAGCAACATATTTTCTAAACAGTTTAGTGTTTGATGGCTTTTTTTTTGGTAACTTTTATTTTGAATTGGGTGAAGGTTTACAGACAAAACCATCAGCTTCACATTCAACAAATTATACACTTTGTTTCATCTCAGTGATTATAATCCCCTCTCTGCAACAAGTTACCCTACTTTCTCACTATGGCTCCCCATTTATATCCTTTTTTAAAAAAAAAAAAACTTTTTATTGTGAATTGAGTGATAATTTACATGGGAAAACTTTGATTTTGCACTCTGTTTTATGTACTTTCGAAAGGAAATAATTTAGATAATTATGAAACTGTACTTCATTCATACCAAACCTAAATTGATGTACTCCAATGTGGATTGTTTTTGCATTCAGCTGGCTGTTTAAATATATGGCCTCTATTCAGTTAACATACAATTAATAATTTTAGACTAAAGCCTTTCTTGATTATCAGTCTTATGTTTTGAAATTTCTAAAATATTAAATTTATTCTGCTTGCATTATCTTCATGAGCAATGCTTATAGTACCCTAAATAAATGCTTAACATGACATTCTCTATTTTTCACTCATTAGAGTGTTCCTTTAATAACTAAAGCTTATTTTCTTTTGCTTACTCTGCCCAAAAAGTATTACAATCTTTTATAGAAAATTGTTTAAAAACAATATTCTAAATTTTGATAAAAAGACAAAATAGAAATGACTGAAGGCTACCTCTCTGTGTAAACAACAACAAAACATGTTTTAAGATAAAAAATTAAGCATACAACAAAGGTTACTATGCTCTTTTATCAAGTTGCACAATAAACAACTTTCAACCAAGATACCTCCCTCACTGGAGAATTTCTAACTTGAATTCAGGGGGCACTAAACAATTTTGATTTGACACCACCATCACTTCTTTTTCCCACTTAATGCATCAATTTTGTTGAGGTGTGCTCTTCTCTTAAGACTTAAGGGGAGACAAACTCATTTCTAGTTCAAAGGCATGACATCCAATGAGTCCATTCCACTGCAGTTGGGAACTTTACTTGGCCTGTGTTGCTGTTGTTGTGTGCTGTCAAGTCAGTTCTGATTCATAGCAACCCTGTATAAGGTTTCTGAGGCGTGACTAGTGAGTTTGAGCCACCAAGTGTGCAGTTCAAACCTACCTTGAGTTTGAGTGCTTATCCTATAGCACCATACCAGGTGTAACTAAACTGAAAAATTAGATCAAAGAGAAGGACTTTTATTTGATGCTAAGAGGAAATGATTCTTCCCTCAATGGAACAATAAAGAACCTTGGCAATTTTTCAATTCTGAGGAGACTCAGCTTAAGACCAATACTGAAAACATCGTGTTACCAGAAGCAACTTTATTGTTCTTTCTGAATTTCCTAATCATACATATTATCTCAGAAGATTGGATGCAGGAAGAAATGGTTGCTATGACCTCAGGATGATGTCTATGATGATTCTTTGAGGGATGCTTAGTTGGAGGAGTCTCAATAAGGTCTAGCAATATCGGTGTTCAAATGGCATGGATTATGACATTTAACTTAGGAAACACTTACATATACTATACGTGGTCTTCTAGAAACCATACCAGGGTTTTACCCATTTTGAGGAGCATCAACATGGGAATGAATGAATCACTGCTTTAATTCTACATTTGGTTTTGTCATTAGTTACTATTGTTTATTGACATAATAATATTTCCACAGACCAAAATCTTGCATTGGATATATAACTGAACATATAGTTATAATTATGTAATATAGAAAATAATTTTTGGTATTGTCATCAGCATTTAATAATGCAAAACTAGTCACAAACATCTTTAGAAAAAAATAATAAAATAGTGCTTTAGTATTAAAATTTCTTATTAAAAGGCATTAGAACAAAGTTAAGAGCATGACATGGCATTAATGCATAGATGAATTAGGCATGAATAAAATGAATTGAATCTCATCTCTTAGAGCAAATCAATATATTTGAAATCTGTACGTCACAGTTTGTCATAGGTCAACTGCAAAAATAATGTAGTCATATTTCTTCATTATTCTGATTGTTGATGAGGAAACACTTAAAATAATGAATATTCAGGATATAAACAATGTACTGCATACTTACCAGGTGATTTTTATGCCAGTTTTCTGAATGCAGAATTAATATATTTGGGCTTTTTTTTTTTTATTGCTTGAGTAGAAAGTGCTCATTACTTATTATGTTTATAATATAGAAATTAAAAAAAAAAGTTTTGTTTTGTTTTGTTTTGTCTTAAATGGCATACATCACACTGTTGTAGTGGTTGATTTCCTCAAGATCGTCTTCTGTGGTTTTGGTGCAGTGGGAGGAGGCACAGTTACAGGTCTGAGAGGGGGAAAGCTGTTACTGTGGCTTATTCCCAGTCCCCCATTTTCTAGTGGAAAAGGCGGGAGGTGGGGTGGAGGAGGAAGGGGAAGGCCTTGGTGAGGAAGCTTTCCTGGTGGGTGGATAGGTTCGTTTTGTAAGTGGACCTCCCTGTTTTTTATGTTATACCGGTTATCACAGTCAGGGCAATAGCCATGGTACTGCACCTTTTCATTAAACCGTACTCTTTCCCGAGGCCCTGCCTGGGGACATCTGTCTTTTTCGGGTCTATGCATTAATGGCTGCACTGGAGCCTTGTCCAAGTTACTATTGGGTATGCAGCAGATGTCGCCATTTGGAATTTTGTTTGGTCCACCTGGTAAGCCTCCATTTCGCAGAAGGGTGCCATTGGTCTTAACAGGATTGACAGTTGGTGCTACCCTTTGGGGGTCTTCACACTTCACAGGTGTCAACCGTGGAGGGGGTGGTGGAGGGTTTGGCTTTCTCAGGACTGTGAGGATAGCAGACGGGTGTGCTGGGGGTTTAATGAGAGGTGCATTAGCCTGCAATTTGATCTTCTCTATGCTGGAAGCTGTTGTGCCGCTTGAGCTACTGTTCAGGGTGTCCGTTTTGGAGCTGTCGGTCATCTCATCCTCCAGCTGTAGGTCAGAGGTCAGGGTATCAATCTGGTCAACCACCTGGTGGAAAGGACAAGGTAATTGTGTTGAAGAATGACCCAAAGTGAAATGTAGTAGAAGCAATTTCTTCCTTTCTAGTTTTAACCTGATGTGGGAGCCTTAACTAACAATCGACTATGGGTTGCAATGCAGCTTAAAGTCTTTATTCAATAAATTTACAGAAACCTAAACTACCAGCCGCTCCACGGGAGAAAGATGAGGCTTTCTACTCTCGTAAGGATTTACACCCTCGGAAACCCTGTACAGGGTCGCTATGGGTCGGAACCGACTCGACGGAACTTAACAACAACAACAACAACCTTATCCTAAAGTGCCAACTATTGGATAACATAATGACTAGACATGCATCAAACATATAATACCGGTGTGTCACTTCTGGATAAGTGTTGGACTGCAGTTAAAATCCACCAACTGCTCCTCAGAAACCCTATACATGGTCGCTATGAGTCAGAACTAACTCAATGGCACTTAACAACAACAGCAATTTATGTAAATGTTCTATTGCTACTCTGCTATATCCATCAAATGTAGAAATAATAAATAAATAAATATGACTGACTTATACAAACAAGAGGAGGGCAGTTCGCCTTCTAGCTTATAAATATATAAATAGTGACAGGAAAACAAATGCTTTCACCCTAAAAATAATAAAAATCTAGATAAATTTTAAAACCATAACTTTTCTTGAGACCAACTAAGAACTAAGTTCATAAGACAGCTAGGCAGATTGAAATGTAAAGAATTTCAAGTCCTCTAAGGAGAGATAGAATTTGTGAATTCTTTTATCTTTTGTGAACCACATTAAGAGAAAATAAAAATGAGAGAAAGCAAAGTAAACAGGTAAAACTTTAATAAATTATTAAAGACTGAGTTTTTGAGCTCATGAAAGTATGCAATCTCCGGTCACCTTAGATTAATTGAGTCTGTACTTACTCACTGCCTCTTTTCAATGGGCCTTTAATGTGTGCAACTAAAGGTAGGGCAGGAGAGTAGAAAGAGTCCCCAGATGACACACACAAAAAAACTCTGTCCACTTCCCTGATGCTTCCTTCATACTACAAGGTAGGAATCCAAAGTCACTGGGAAGGAGACAGGAAACCTTCTAAACACTTCAAAGAGAGGGTAGAAACAAAAGCTGTCTGAGCCTGGGGGAGAGGGCAGAACAATCTTAGTTTCAGGACACTCCACAAATATAAACTAGATGTTTTCCACCAATAGTGAAAGGGCAGAAAATCTTAACTGCTCAAGACCTACCAAAGATACAAGGCAGAGTTTCACTGCCTAGAGGTGGTGAACAGAAATCAAGGGAAGGTCCTACCACAGATCTGAAAGAGTAGAGGATTAGTCCAACACTGGGGAAGGACTAGAAGAACTGAGAGCCAGGTCCATGCCACACCACAAGCCAAGCACGAAGCAACAAGTAACAACAGGATATTCACGGAAGAAGGGAGACTCAGTTTTAACACTGCTGTTAAGTGCTGTCAAGTTGGTACCAACTCAAAATGACACTGTATAGGGTTTCAGAGGAGTAGCTTGTGAGTTTGAACCACTGACCTTGTGGTTCGACCTAACCTTGCAGTCCAGTGTGTTATCCCATAGCACAACAGCTGTAACATAGAGAAAAGCAAAAAATAAAATAAAATAATATAAAAAAGAACTTCTGGAAAATGTGGAAATGACGACATCCATCTTAATCACAAAGCAGCAGCAACCCATTGAAAGAGAAATTTTAAATCTATGGTATAGTGGTACAGTGAAAATAAGTAAAACAATAACAAAATCTGTACAATCTCAAATGGTAACAAAAATATATATAATATTACTAAATACCACATTATTGCTAGAAAGCATAACAGCCCATTTCTGGACATAAACATTAATTGCAACAGTTTTTACTATTCTTCACCACATGATTTCTTCCATTCAGTCAAAAATTTTAAGACACACACAAAAGAAGGAAAGCAACCCACTGATAAAGAGATAAATTATAATAATTCTAGAAATAATCCAGGTGTTGGAACTATCCAACAGGATTTTAAAACAATTCTGATAATATGTTCAAGGATTTAGTGGGAGAATTTGAGAACCTCCATATAGATATGAAGAATTTCATCTGACAGATGGAAACTACAAAAACAAATAAAAAAAAAAAAATACAAATGCTAAAACAATATGAGAGAATTTCAAAAAGTTTATGGAAGAATTCCATTATCTTTCCGTTCCTTTTTCCCATGACCTTTTGTTGTTGTTGTTAAGTGCCATCGAGTCAATTCCAAGCCATAGTGACCCTGTATAGGGTTTCCAAGGAACAGGTGATGAGCTTGAACCGCTGACCTTGCAGTTCAAACAACTTTGAAGTCTGATGCATTAGCCCACAGTGCTACACCAGGAATCCTATTACCTTTTAGAAACCCCCTAATAATAGAGAGTTCTGGTGTGGTGCTGTGGGTTAATGCACTGTACTGCAAGGTCACTTTGAACTGCAAGGTCAGCAGTTCAAGTTCACCAGCCAGTCATCTGAAACTCTATACAAGATTGTTATGAGTCAGTACTGACTTGACAGCTCTTAACAACAAATAACATCAATAGTAGAAACTCTGCCATGCTCATAAGAATGTGTCTTCTGTACAATAAAACTGAGGTAAATAGCAGAACCAAGTATAATGTATAAAGCAGAGATGTGTTAGTTCAGGTCCTCCAAAACACAGACACCTAGGTAAGATTAAACATGTAAATAATTTGTTAAGGGAAAAAAAACAAAAACGTGTGATAGGGAAAAAGAAAAAAAAAAAAAATGGGGAGGGAGTCAGGTGAGGCTGGCAGCATTATCAGACCATGTGTTTGTCTGACCCTAAGTGAAGGATAAAGTTTGTGAAGGAGCTCTGGTAGCGTAGTGGTTACGAATCGGGAAGGAGTCTTCACATCAAGGATCAAACCTGTCCCCTCTGTGTACAGGGTTGATATGGATGGGCAGCTTAGACATTGACTACTAAAATGGGGGACTATAAAGGAGTCCTGGTGTGGTGCTGTGGGTTAATGTACCAGACGACAAAGCCATTTGAACTGCAAGGTCTGTAGTTCAAGCTCACCAGCTGCTCCTTAGAAACCCTATACAGGGTCACTATTGGTTGGAACTGTCTC